CTTATCTACACTCCCACCCAGCTTCATAAGATAAAGTTTCATTCCACTTGTTTCCAAATATTATTTTAAAAAGAGAAAGAAGTCAGCTTGAAGCAGCTTGAGCAGGACTTTCTTCCCCAGGAAGCACTTACTGCCATGGGGCTGCACTCGGAATCACAGTAGGTGAGCAGCTCATAGAGGGTCACCCCGAAGGACCAGACGTCGGAGGCGATGTAGAACTTGCTCTGGAGCAGACACTCTGGAGCATACCTGTGGGACAGCATGGCAGTGTCAGCCCCCACCCCGAGCCCCTCACCCCTACTCACCCCCCCCACAGCTACCACGCCCCTGGGGAGAGCCCAGGAGGCACGTTCTGCACCGCAGAGTTCTTGCAGGCACCTGTGGGGGCCAGGGGGACAAGGGAGGTGAGGTTGCTACCAGAACACGGGGCTGTCCAGGTCGTCCTTGACAGTGTAATACTCCTTGTCGGTCTCGATGGCTTTGGTGAGCCCGAAGTCCCCAATCTTCACTCTGTTCTCACTCTCCACCAGGACGTTTCTTGCTGCCAGGTCCCTGTGCACGTACTGGCAGGAGCCCAGGTAGTCCATCCCCTGCCACAGGAGAAAGCATTTTATGCTAGTTTCTCCAGCACTTCAATCATTGTTTTTCTCCAGCTTCCCCTTCAAATGCTCCCTGGCTCATGAGGTGACAGTCTACCCAGGCTTCCCATGGTGGGTCCTCTGTCCATCAGCCCTTTCTGGGCCCTTTTGTGACACCCCCATCCCTTAAACTCAGTCTTTGGGTTCCTCATCTGCTGAGACTGTTCAGCAGCCACCATCTCCAGATCCTTCTCTCCACAGCAGCAGTTCCTTTGTGTGCTGCTAGAACTCCTGTCTACACTTCTCACCACCTGGGCCACCAGGGCCTCAAAAGCACGTGGCTTTGGGTGGCCCCACTGTGCTCACACCTCCTCCTCACTTCAGATTCACACGTTGCTCCTTCCCTCTGGCCAACAGGCCCTTTCTAAAATGCTGTCCTTCCTCCCAACGCTGCAAGTCTCCAGCAGCAACAAAGTCTTCTCCTAATAAACTTTTAGGTGATGGCACCTGGTAATTGTTCCCTGGCTGATCTTTGTGCCTGCAGCACCTGAAAGCCTGGGAGAGACCTTTTTAGGGTTCAGGCCCTTGGGGACAGAGCAAGGAGAATGGTTTTCTTCATCAAGGCTCCCCTCCACTATTAAATCAGACAGAATCATGGAATTATAGGTGTTATGTGAAGATGAGAGAGGTGGAGCAGCAGGAGGCTCTGGTGGCAGGCTCACCTTGCAGATCTGGACGGCGTATCGGAGAAGCTGTTTGAGATTGATTTTGTTCTTGTTCCTGGGGAGATACTCCTTGAGGCTCCCAGAAGGAAGGAACTCCATGATGAGCTTAATCCCATTTCCTCCTAAAAAAAAAGCCCAGAGTGTGGGTTTGATTTGCAGACCCGTGACCCTTCATTAACACCAACCACTTTTGTCCAAGGCCACAGTACGGGAAGGGGTTGTGTGGACAGCATTTGGTTCACTGCTGGGACACAGACACCACCAGCCTGCCCAGGGGCTCCTCTCCTGAATGGATTTGGTAAGAACAGCAACCACGTTGCTCACGGCCAGGTTAGTCAAGCACAAAAATGGGCAGGAGGAATTTAGAGGTAAAATGCTGCTTCTGGGGTGCTCAGCACAGGAGAGACATGGGCCTTTGGAGTGGGACCAGAGGAGGCCAAAAATAGGATGGAAGGGCTGGAGCCCCTCTGCTGGGAGGCCAGGCTGAGTTGGGCTTGGGCAGCCTGAGAGGAGAAGGCTCCACGGAGACCTTCTGGTGGCCTTTCAGTGCTTAGTTAGAAGGATGGGGACAACGTTTTGAGCAGGGCCTGTTGGGACAGGACACAGGGTGATGGGTTTCAACTAAAAGAGGGAGATTTAGGCTAGAGCGACGGAAGGAAATTTTCCCCTGAGGGGGGTG